ACACATTAGCAGAAAATATTTCATGAAAATGTATCTTTCCACATACTTCAAATTTAATACAGATTTTTTTCGACATCAATCTCCATGGTCCCAAATCACACTGTAGTGAAATCATATACGGTAAAACAAGTTTATTACTGCATTTTGTGGCAAAAAATAATTTTAAATCCGAATCCGTTTCTTGATCCTGGAGAACAATGTGATTTCTCACATTTGGTGTACCCTTATTTTAATTGACTTCAAAATAAGATTGTCCGGTTCCAGGAATAATTTCTTTTGAATCTTTTATGCTTACATTCATGATCTTTTGTAGCACAATGCACAATACAGCAATAAATTTTGTTCTGTAATAGTAAGTAGCATAGGCAATGTCTAGGATGCATGGAAGCATCCGATTTCACCCGAATCCTGCCTGCTTCTCTTCAGTTTACACGACTAAAGTGATGGTTTTCTGTAGTAAAATGTGTTCTGAGCCTCAACTTCAATCAAAAAATCAAACAAAACCAAGTGTACTTTAACTTACTGGTTCATATTCACTTGACGTCATTGCACGGCTTACGTCATTTGCTGTAAGTAGTCATCGAGTGACATGCAGGTAGCCTGACATAGATCCTGTCTTCCTAGGCATCTTCTCGTGTCAGTCGGAACGAGCAGAGCTGGTATTGAAATTTACCACTTCTGCAAGTCAGCTCTAGTAAAGTACCGTTTTCTGGCTGTTGGTTTTGCAGTCGACCCTGTGCTGCGCAGGGCCTGCGAATCGACAACATGCAGCTGACAGCGTCAGCAATGATAAATGTTATCGCCAGTGCAAGCAAGTGCAATTGACTGCACATACCTCTGCTTCTGCTGCTGCTGCTGCTGCCGAACCAGTTAGCTGAAAGGGTGCGCTTACTACAGTGGTTTCTGACTGCACACCGATAAGCTGCATTGCTGATGACAACGGCAACGGTAGCGACACGTCATTTCGCTCCTCAGGGTACAGTCTGTCGAGAGGTCTGTGCCGGTGATTGTGCCCTTCTAAACCGGCCGTGTGTTAAATGCGCTGAGCAACAGTGGGGGCTAGCTGAGCAGAG